CAACCCCTACTGATTTTAAATCCAGCAATCCAATAATTCCTAGATTTATTTTCATAATTTTCACGACTCGCACAGGCACATGAAGTCACCAGTGCATCAGGAAAGCTTTGAATATGGAAAAGCTTACATTCAGGGGATGGAAATATTGCCATTACACTGATTTTGTGATCTGAACGCAGATGTGGAAGTTGTGGCATTACTTTACACTTGTACACACCCACTTTACCCACCCACATCCCTCTGTCTGATCCCCATATAAATTATATTACTATAATTAAAAATCTTATGAACTTATGTGATTTCTTTTGATAAAATACTTCATGAAATATAATCATAGCTACAATTAGCTTCAAGCTACACATGACAATTAATACAACACTTTTTCTTAAAAGTCACCATCAATCACCATTGAGTGTTTGTAAAAACTACGATCTGACTGCGATCCAGTGTAGGTTCTGGTCAAATGATGAGGCAGAAATAAATTGTTAGTAACATTTTAGAAGAATTTTATGGGGAAGATACACAATTACAACTTTTGTGGGGCATGAAGGAAAAGTAATGTAACTAGTAGTGTAACTAATTACTGTTGCCAGATAATAATAAGTAAAGTAATAATATTACTTTTGAATGGAGTAACTAGTAACGAGTAATAAATTGCATTTTTGGAGTAACTAGCCCAACACTGGCCATGTTGTACGCTATATATAATTTATATTGTCATTTGGGATTACTAAAAATCATATGCAAACTTTATATCCATCCTGTAATATTTTTGTGAAAAATTACTACAATAAATGTAGTAACAATAAAAAGTAAAAACACCCATTGACCCCAAATGGCTTCAAATAATAATGCTATCACATCCTGCTTTTAACGCAGTTGTCGGAAGTAAATATAAAAATGGGGTGTTTATTAACTGAATGATTGTCACTGTAACTGACTGTAAAAGAATTGCTCAGTAACAATGTCTTTCTACAGGGACAAACTCTGAAATGTCAAATGCATCAGAGACAGAAGAGATAGGAGAGCGGGAGCCCAGGCCAAAAGGTGTTGGAGGAGATGACAGGGGTTCCAAGCGTGGAGGTCGTGGCCGTGGCTCCAGCACTGGTAGGGGCCGGGGAGGACCAGGGCCCCGAAACACTAACACTATCAGCTCAGGTACATACTGATTGCTATTAATAAAAACTATGCTTAACAAAAGGTCTTAGAGTCTCAGAATTTCTAGAGCGAATATCTTTTTCTTTTTCTAGTTATGATGTAAAAAACTTAATTGGATAGAAATGGCCCTGGTGTAAAATCTCTTTGTTTCAAAAAACCACTAATAAATTGCCGTTCAGTAAAGCAAGTAAAAGTGTCATGAAAACTAATGTCAAAAGGTGTGGGAACCATGGTTTTTAAGCAAAATCAATAAAACTTATAGGGTGAAATGATTACAAATTACAATTTTTTTTTATGCTTGGTAGCCTAGGCATGCAATCTCCTGTTTATCATCATTTGTGCCCTATTGAACATCTGTGTATTTGTGTACATTCCAGTTCTCCGAGATCCAGACAGTAACCCGTACTCTCTGCTGGAGGGAGAAGGTGAAATAGGTGGTGATACAGATGCCAGTGAGAGCATGGGCGGCACTGACCGCAGGAGACGTTCACGTCGTCGCCGTAACGACCAGGAACCCAGCCTTATGGATGCAGCCGCTAATGAATCAGACAGTCAGGCAGCCGCCAGTGAGAATGGACTGGGTATGACAAAGTTTCAGTTTATTTTGATACACACAGGTTGATTAAGAAGACGGGGCTTAAAGTTCTCCGGCACCGTGCCGGATCTCCGGTGTGCAGCGTTTGGCTGCGGGGAAAAAATGATAGTCATCCTACATTTAAAAACACTTGTTGATATCACGTTCGAGTTCATGAGTTCGCCTAGCAATGTATGAGAGGAACACAGCTTTCACTCTCAACCAAACTAACATTACTAGCCAATCAGAAGTTTTTGCTTTTATAAACACGAGACGCGCATTAGTATCCAATTGCAGAGTCGCAGCTGATGAATGGAAAAGAAGCCTGGGTCTCGAGCGCGACACATTGAAAAAGCTGCGAGGCACAATGGTCAAAGATCTCCATCTAGCGTAATCTATATTTACATAGAAAAGCTCAGAAATAGGCGATGGGCTCTGATTGGTTAGCTAGCCCAGTGTGTTGTGATCTGCTCAACCACCTCTAGTGCGCGTCTAAACGTCCCGCCCCTCACCTCGGCGGCTTTGAAACTTGTGAATCCATTAGAATCGTTAGAAGACATAATTCATATATGAATAGATTTTTACGTGCACCTCGAGTTTTCTCTTCCTCTTCTCTAAAGCAGCGCAGCTTGGCCTCGCCCCCTTTGTTGCCTTTTCCCGAGGGCGAGGTTTATCTGGGTTTGTGATGTCACGAACCCGGGAAGTAACTCGTTGTAGTCCCTACCAGCCGTTTTTGTAGGCATTAAACTGCCAGAATTTTAAAAGACAATCCGTTTGAATTGAACTTTCTGCTTCGTAACTTTGCAGATATTGTTTATGCTCAAACAGCAACATTAGACACGAACTAACTAAATTGCAATGAACCACCCCTTTAAAAAAGCAGCGGAGCTTTGTAAACCGCTCAGAGTAATCACGTCGTCTCCATAAGAACGATATGATTGCCAGAACAAATTTACCGGGATTTTTTAAAAGGTCCTGTTCACACATGATCTCTTAACGGTAATTTACCAGTAAAGACTGTATGTGTGAAAGGGGCTAAACTCTTCCTCTGCATATGCCGTGAGTTTGGATTGCTTAACGTTCATCTGGGAAAAATCACTTGATTTGTAACGTAAATCATTTAAACCTATGTCAACACAGGAGAATCCATCAACATTTCTAAATATGCGATTTCAAAATGAAAGTTTCTGACTTTGCATTTGGCCAAATATTGAAATTAAATGGATTTAAACGTTGAATCACATGAAACATCACCAGGCCGTTGGTGCCCTCTGCAGGTATTTGTTATAATATAGGCATATTACATTATGTATTTAACAGTGTTGTTCAATAAAACCATGTACTTGGTTTTGATACTTTATTTGAGGCCAATTATTATTGCCTCATCATTACTTTATATATAAATATAGTCATATTAAAGCCTGGTTTTCCACTTAGTTCTATTTGTGTTACTAAAAAATATCAGATTACTTGTCAAAATAATTAGTAGATTACTTGATTAGCAAAATAATCATTAGTTAAGC